ATATTGAATAAGTAAATTACCTGTTCGGTAGTTAAGAATTGCTGAACTATTTGTCCTAACAATATTTTATTTGGCTTCCATTTATACATTCTTGGGACTCGTGCTGTTTTATATCTACGTCGTCCAAACTTGTGTCCAATTTATGGAAAAGCTTCCTATATCCAATACTGGAAAATTAGTAAATAAATATTAGACATAGGAGATATGTATTTATAAATAAAAGAAGGAAAAAATTAAAAATATAGGAAGAAAATACCTGGAATGCAAGTGGATAGCCATTTAATGAGTATTTACATTCAACTTCGTTATTTTCTTGCATTCTCTGTATTCGTTCTAACTGTGAATGTTGCAATGAGTTCAATAAAGTATAATATGCTTTGCGACCCCATGATATTGAAGGAAATTCTCAAGATGTTCTACCATGGCTAGAGTTTTGTAGTCAATGTCCCTCCGAGTAGGTTTTAAAACACATTCCACTAACATCACGAGTCCAGGTTTGAATTTATCTTGTTGATGTTCACATAGGCGAAATGTTTCAGAAAGTGTCTGCATACTGATTTTTTTCTACCATTGAAGTATTGGTTTCGGAGCCTATCATTGTTGGAGTCTAGATTTACAGCAACTTCATGACAAGGTAAGCCCATAATAAGACAAAATTCTTGCATACCAAAGCGGGCTAAATGATCATCTAATTTTACCCATTCTTCATTATTTTTTCCTGAATTCAAAAATCTCATTATAAATTCATGAATTAATTTGCTGCTAAACTGTTGTTCTTCTTCCCCTCTATGAATAAATCCACACAAAAATCCATGGAAATTACTGCACATTAATGATGATTGGTCATCAGCACTAAGAAGTTCTATGAAATTTTTGACATATTGATTATTTGCATATTGGTAAATCGTAGCAGAAAACCAGCGATCTGGAGATATTATATATGCTAAAGACATCTATAAAAGTAACCAATGAAATAAAAGTTAGTGAATAAACGAATAGAATAGCTACTCATCTATTCTATTATGTTAAAAATTCCTTATACATGAATTACAAATGAAGAAAACAAGTAGTATATTCAAGGGGTGAATATAATAAAGCAAGAATTGATAAAAGTTATGCGAGTGTCGCTGTTAACAAAACAATGAAAGAAAGAGCAGTAAATATGGCATGAATAACTATATTAAACATTTTCCAAATGATGTTAAAAATAAGAACAAAGTAGGCAATCCGTCCTAATCACTGAACCTTCACATTTATAGTCAAACTCTTATGGACATTCTTGGTATAGTGATCCACATAAATAAAGTACAATTAATAAGTTATTTGTTGCAAGAACACCTGATCAGTGTAAATATTCAAAGAGTAATATGATGGAAATGTTACA